AAAAAAAAAAAAAAAAAAGATTTAAAAAAAGAAAAAGATGAGCCCAAATTTACAGGAAGAGTGAAAATTTGCAGTATTTTATAAGAGAATTTAAAATGGAAAGTCAGTTATAAAATGAACAGCCGTACTGTAAACCCGAGAAGTAGAAGTGAGGGCCTTCGTTATTGGCTCACCAAACCATCTCTGACTCAAAGGACTGTTTTAGTTTATTGGTGGAAGTTTGAAGAAGTCAGCACATTTTACTGAGGGGTAACTTGATAAATATTTCAGAAAGGTAATTGAGTGTCGTGTCAAAAATTTAAATATGTGGTTTCTGTCACACTCTTGGGCAAGTCTGTGTATCTGCACACAGATTGATATCTGTCACCATTACTGGCAGTCAGTGGAAGTTAGGAACTTAGGCAAATGCAAATTAGAAGCCAGAGTTCACTGCTGAGCATTGAGTAGACCTACCTCCCACCTGTTACTCCGTGCAGCCTTTACAGATAAGCACCCCTGGTAGCCTCTCCTGAACACTGGCACGGTGGGGCTTGGGTGCCATTTGCTTTCCTCCTCAGCACCCTCGTTGGTAGACCCTGGGGAGGTGAGAAAAGGAAGGCTTGAGTTAGGAAACCATCTACCCAAAGTCATGGCCCTCAGGAGTACACACCCTACTGACTACGAGGTGTGTTTTTCCTCTATAGCCATGTTCCTCTTACGGATCTGTACCTCGAGCCTGAATGAAAGTAGCATGTGACCTCTGGTTTCTGCAGTTAGAAGTGCAAGGTATTTGGGAGGCTGTCCACCAAAATACAGCCTCATTAAGCAATGAAATGCCCTGGCTGTTTTATTCTTTTGTACATTAGGTGGTATTTGCAACATAAAAATGTCTTCTCTATATAGTCATGAAATGGTAAAGCTTCCCTTTGAAAGTTGGGTGCTCACTAGGTGTGATGTTAGGAGCTTATCCTGAGGAGATAAAGCTGTGTGCAGAGGATTTTACAAACACTCTTCATGAATACAAGCTGAGTGCCCAGCAGTAAGATAATCGTTAGACGCCAGACAGTGCCCCGCACCGTGGGTTTAAACTGCTGTAGAAGATAAATGATGTAGGTTGGTGTTGGCCTTCAAGTCCATCAAAGTGAACAGTTGCCTTGGGTAGTGGGCCTGGAGGTGACAGTGTTGACACACTGCTGGAACAGTGTGAGGGTCTCAGGCTGCCCCTTGCTGCACAGGCTAACATGTTGGTTTGTATGGCAGGCGCGGGTCTGAGTGGACGGCAGGTGCACCGGACACAGGCTGTGTTTAACCACACTGAGGACTATATTTTGCTGCCGGACGAAAGGACCATCAGCCTCTGCTGCTGGGACTCTAGGACAGCTGAGCGCAGAAACCTGCTGTCCCTGGGCCACAACAACATCGTGCGCTGCATTGTGCACTCACCCACCAACCCTGGCTTCATGACATGCAGTGACGACTTCCGAGCTCGGTTCTGGTACCGGAGGTCCACCACTGACTGAGCTGGCCCCGCTCCTAGGGTTCTTGTCTCAGGAGTCCCCCTCCTCCCTGTGTCCTGCCACCAGCTGCAGTAGTGAGCAGTTTGTACCATCTGAGGTGGGTGTGCGCCGCCTGGCTCCTGCCTTGGATCTGTACTTGGAGGCTCTTTTTTACCTTGCTGTAGAGTTGCGGTGGGAAAAGTTGGAAACAGACTGTGCCGTTGTCCTGGTGCAGTGATTTCGCTGTGCTTTCCACCAGCGTAGTAAGTGCAGGACTTGCCATGGCTTTTGACTCTTGTTCCTGGAGAAGGACAGACTATTGAAGGACTTCGTGGCCCTGGGGGAGTCTCTCACAAGGACTGCCATCAGGGTCTTTTGCCACCTCTTGCGCCTGTCCTGCCCCCTCTGTATTTCCTTTCCAGAGGCATTTTGGCTCACACAGAGGTCTGCAGCTCTGAGGATCTCGGGTTTTGTGCCATGTGGAACCACCGTCCAGGGATCCCAGTCCCATCTTGAGGTGACGTCATTGGGTAATAAAGCTCAGATCTACAAGCTCACTGTTCCTTCTTCTTCACGTCAATACACCTAGGGTTTCCAGGTGCCCCGTCTGCACTCATGCAGTGTCCTCTCGGTACCAGCAATGCCCACCGTTAGGAACGGGGACTGGCCCAGAAGCCATTGAAGAGGAAGACCCAGAACTTAGGGCCTGCCTTGCCGAAATAGCAAGCTTGAAACCAGCCTAGGCTAGGCCCACCTTTAATCCCAGCTCTCGGGAGGCAGAGGCAGGTGGATCTCTGTGAGAGATCCTAGACTAGTCTACATAGTAAGTTCCAGGGCAGCTAGAACCACATAGTGAGACTTTGTCTCAAAAAACAAACAAAATGGATGGTAATGATTTGATGGGACCCATAATCAAAAACGTATGTAGTCTAAGCCACAAGAGCTTGCTGATGCCCCCGGCCTGGCAGTAACTTCTAATCTGGGTGTGCAGGGGAGCATGATCTTGGGGGTTGCTGCAGTGCACCATCTGATGCGTCTCTCTTGACATGTCTGGGATGCAGACGGTGTCTCCCTGGGTCTAGCTGCACATAGGTAAACCAGCCCTGTGTGCGCCTCTTTCCAACAAAGTTTGCTTTCTCTTTCTGAAGAAAACCCCTCGGAGCTGGGCAGAAGTGCCTGAAGCTGAGATCACTGATAAAGCAGTGACTAGGCCACAGTAAGTCATTGCTGCGGTGTGGAACATTCTGTTGCAGCATCACCCCTGGGCTGCGGGGGTCACTGGGTTTGGGGTCACAATCCTAAAGAGCTGTATTTTTGTATCTACAGTAAGTGTGAACTTACACTTTTATTTTGCACTCTGATTCTCCAGTATTGGAGCCTGGCCACCTGGGGGTGCTACCTGTAAGATAAGGAAGCCGCTGGGTAGGGACAAGAGCAGCTGCTCTCTCCACAAGCTCCCCACTTCATCATCCTCTGATTTCCCTGTTACACTACAAGCAGAGACTCGTCACCTCTGTTCCCGTCTACACTCCCAGCACAAGCTGCCAGGATGTAGCCGGTCACCTGTGAATTAAAATAATAATGCCGCTTCATGCAGTCCCTGGGCTAGTCTCAGTGGCTGTGGTTTCAGGACTGACAGTTACAAGGGGAAATTCTCTTCTCTGTTTCCAAAATGGTTTCCTCCTCTCGCTGTCCCTTCCTTTTCCCTGCCTTTTAAAAACCACATTCACCTTTGAGCTGGTGTCGACGTCAGGAATATCCCACAGACTTGGTGTTCACATCTAGGTAATTGTACTGCATAATGCTCCAGCATTTGAGTGATGAATTTATATATGGTCAGAATAACCTATGCCTTCTATGTTATTTTTTAAAGATGTGATTTCTAAAATAAATCTTTTTATATAACAGTACCGTAAAGCTAGTTTGTGTTTTTGGAGGTTGCTCTGAGCCGTCCCACACTTGGATGGCAGTTCTTAAGCCGGAATGGTGGGCAGCAGCGTTGCACAGCTTGGCAGTTGTTCTAGAAATCCCAGCTGTGTTCCCGCAGGCTCTTTACTCTTCTCTGGACAGAAAGGACTTGGATATGGCTCCCTTCAGATCAGTTCACGAAAACTCTGCTTGCTTGCTTTCTATCTCAGTTCTTTGGAAAAGCAATATAGGAAGTCTGCTCTCAGCTCTGGCCTTGACTTGACAGGCAGTGAAGGTGGTCATTTGTGTGGCCTGTGTCCCTTGGGTGCTCAGAGGCCTTCAGCTCCATCCTCCAGCCTGCACTTGAATGAACAGTTTGCTTCAAGGCCCTGTGGTGTGACAGGTTGAGAGGTGAGGGAAGACATTGCTCTCAGGGAGACTTGTAAAAGTAAGTGAGCCATCTGTGAGCAGAATTTATTTTCAAGCTCTAAGTGCAGAGCTAGCAAGAAAGCAAGAGAATTCCTGAGAAACAAGAAGAGCTTGCAGAGATTGGCAGTGTTGGAGCCAGCAGCTGCTCGGGGGCGTCATTCTTTGAGCTGGGCCTTATGGGTAGGAACTTTGATCAAGACCCAGAAAAGAAAATAGTAAGGGAAAGTGTAAGTTATTTTGGTTTTGGTTTAAGTCCCTGAAAGGAAGATTGAGCTTCAAGGTGCCCCACCCCAATAAAAAGACGAGCTTTACCAAAGTCCACAAGCTCTGCACTAGAAGAGATGAGCAGGATGGTGCAGTGGGGGAGGTCTCTGTGAGCCAGCCTGTGTACACACTGTACCTCAAACCAATGTGGAACTGTTAACACTGCTGAGACCCCCAGGAGAAGACCAGCTGCTCCCACTGCCCAAACCACCGGGAGAAGACCAGCTGGGAAACTTAAAGCTGTCTCCAGTGGGTAAGCAGCCACAAGTGCCTTACAGAAGCCAGCCCAAGCCTCTATAAGAACATATCTGAACCCTGGTCCTCAGTTCTCCCAGGTAACAGGATCGTGAGCTCACCATCAGGATACGTGAGGACATAAGCCACCTTGGTGCCAACCAGCGAAACCAACAGACCTGCAGAGTTAGAGTTATCCATGCAAAATGTATACGTATGTAGATTATGTCTAAAGAGCCAAGATAAAGTAAATTGGGGGCTAGAGATATAGCCCAACAGTAGAGTTCCTAACCTGGGTTCCATCCATCACAGGAACCAGGCTTGGTGGCACACACCTGCAGTCCCAGCACTGGAAAGTGGATACAAGCTCAGATGTTCAAGGTCACCCTATGTATGTAGAAGCTGAAGGCCAGACTGTCCCAAAAGTAAACTCAAGTCTCATGGTGTACACTCATGTACCCTCAGAGGCCTGGCAGAGGCAGGAAGAGAGCTGTGAATCCAAGGCCAGCCCAGGCACCAGAGTGAGTTCTCAGCAGCCTGGACTATGTATCAAGATTCTGCCTCACTTTTTTAATTATTATTATTTTAATGTGCATTGGTGTTTCGCCAGTATCTATGTCTGTGTGAGGGTATCAGAACCCTTGGAACTGGAGTTATTGTTGTGAGATGCCATGTTGGTGCTGGGAATTGAACCAGGTCCTCTGGAAGAGCAGCTAGTGCTCTTAATCACAGAGCCATCTCTCTCCAGCCCTCGAGACTCTATTTTAACAACAGGAAATGAGGAAAACTGTACAAATTCAGCTTTACTGCGGTGCCCCACTTAATGTTTTTGGGGTTTTCTCCCCTTACTCCCTGGGTGGATATTTTACTCCTTCCTGAGGCCACTTTTCCAGGCATCTCTTGGCCCGGTGACACCACCTCCCCCATGACAGGTACATGCCAATGACAGTTTTCTCTCTGGGTTCCTGTTCTGTCAACAGATAGCCCTTCCCTGCAGCTCCCTACCCCACCCCTGCATTTAGCAATTCTTTTCTTTTTGTCTTCCAATTCTTACTCTGATTCCTTTTCTTCCTCAACCCTCCCAAATCAAGAGAGTGCGTGCGTGCGTGCGTGCGTGCGTGCGTGCGTGTGTGTGTGTGTGTGTAAGCATGTTCTGAGCCATTTCTCCCTCCCAGTCTCAGAGATGAAGCAAAATAGTATGAAAACTTTAAGGTGTGTGTGTGTGTGTGTGCAGGCATGTTCTGAGCCATTTCTCCCTCCCAGTCTCAGATCATGAAGCAAAATAGTGTGAAAACTTTAAGGTCTTAACCCTCCACACACTCTCTGTGTTCAACTGTCTTTATAGCCCCGGTCCTGAGCACCCAGTGTTGGATACTACCAAACAATAAACTTCACAGCTGAAAGCTGGTGTGGAAACCATGGCTTTCCTAAGACACATATGAAGCCCTGTAGAAATGAAGTGAGCAAATCCACTAACCCTAGGAAAGAAAGTTGAGTTCAAACTGCTATTCTCTAATGGCACGAGCCTATCATCACAGCACTCAGGAGGCTGAGGCAGGAAGCTCGCCGTGATTCCAAGGCCATACTGGACTGAATACTTCCAGGTTAACCTGAGCAGCAGTGTGAGGCCGAGGAAAGGAAAAAGTTCACTTTTGGCACATCAAGAGCATTAAGGACATAGCTACAAGATGGGCGTGGCAGCACTTGGGACGTGAAGGCGTGAGGGTCAGGAGGAAGGTCATCCTCTGCTGCATAGCATGTTCAAGGCCAGCCTGAGCTATGGAAGACCTTATCTCAAAAAAAGTAATGCAAGAGAAGCCCAAGGCCTCCCCCGGGAGGTTCTTGGCTCAGCTTGTTGGCTGCAGACCATCGGGTGTTTTGAAAGCACCCAGGTTCCCAGAATAGCCTGTAGTTGCAATACTTCCTTGTCAGACTCACTGGCCTTGAAATGCAGGCAGATTGCAGCAAAGTAGCTAAGGCACCTTCTCAGACTTCCATTCATAAAATCAGATCGAGCAAACCTGGGCGGAGAAATCAAATGTGCTTACAAATGGCCGACCTAGCCTTCTGGCAGAAGGTAGCCCAACCCATTTCTTGGCCAGATCCCATTTGTTTGATCCTAAATGAGTTTTGATTTTGGTCTAGGCCGAGTTCTCTAGAACATGACGTATCAGTTACAGCATCACAGTTATTCCATGAACTTGAGACACCCTTCAGTGGGGCAAAGGAGTGTTGCCAGGAGCGTGCCAAGGGGATAGGAACCAACTTTCAGCTTGAGTTACTCTGACATCTTTCTCAACTCCAGATCCTATCATAGTTACTTCACTACGACCTTGAGAAAGTTTGTCCTTCCTTTTTGTTTTTTGAAACAGGGTCTCAAATGCTTATGGTTTTCATACAAGTATGTATCAGATGTGGACCATATTTCCCCTTTACCTCCCAGCCCTTCCTTTCCCCCCCTCCTTCCACATAGACCATTTTACTTCTTTCACTTTGTGTGTGTGTGTAAATGATTTTATATATATCTATAAAATCCAAGAACCACAAATGAGAAAACATTTCTCTTTCTGAGACTTTCTTAATTCACAGTGTGATTATCTATTGAACCCATTGTCCTACAAATGGTATAACTTCGTTCCACTGGAAGACTGTTGTTGAACAAGTAGGTTTCATGATGGAGCTATCATGAACAGTGCTACAATAAACAGTGGCATGCA